ATTTTACTAGTAGATGCAAGGAAATTAGCAAAGATACAATACTGATCCTCAATTCGAGAGCGAGGATCGCATCTCTCCAAATCTCTAGCGCCGCTTTAGAGCCAAAGAAACCTAAATCTAAGAGATCTCAAATTTCAGCTTCAAGATGCCCAAAACCCATAGCAAAAAATCAACTATTTAATGCATACAAATCAAAAGAATTCCCTAAACGTCCCTACATTCAAATTTCTCTTCTAAAACCCCCAAAAATCCTTCCTAAACACCCGTTTGAGGCTCCCGTCGGCCCCCCGACTCCGGCAGGAGGGCGGAGACACGGCACGTTTCGCGTTGAGCCGGTCCGTGCGGCACCGGTCTGGACCGGTCCAGTGACCGGTCTAACAGTCTCCTCCCCTTTGTGGCGCCAAACACAGCTATAGATCATATGAAATGAGGGATTTAAGGAGAGGTTGTTTAGCGGAGTTTTAATTAGAATTGAATGAAAGAATTCTAATATTGAATTGAAATAGAAGAGGAAAATTAATTAAGACAATAATGAAATAATTGTTGTTTTAATTCCAATTGCAGTATCAAAATAGAGAGGAATACAAGATTAAGGTTAGTAAAGTTGTTTGGAGGAAAATAGGAAGAGCTTATTAAGGCTAGTTATCTTATTATAGGGCTATGGGTGTTTTTGTTTGTTTGTTGTGTTTTCTGTCTTGGGTTTCCTAAGTGGAACATATTATCAAAAACATAAGAAATCAAATTAAAATTTTCAGCTGATCAAATTATGTATCCAAATAAAAAAATACAAGGGTAAGCACATATATACATCATCAAAAGTTTAGAATCTAGAATAACTTTTCCTATATTGTTATAGTAATGCATCCCGATCAAAAAAGGCCCCAAAGTGCAAAAAAAGGGGGATTTAAAAAAAAAAAAAAAAAAGGCCCCAACATATTGGGGGTTTTTGGGGTGAGAACTACGATTTGTGTTATAAAAAAAGAAAAAAAAAAACGGTTAGTAGGTTATACTAACTTTGTGTTTGTCATCATAGATTTTACAATTAGGAATATAATATTTTCTTAAAACTCTAACATTTCTTCTTATTCCTATATAAATTGGAAGAACATGAAAATGTATAAATTAAGATATGTAAGTGAATTTAATTTCATCAATAATATGCACCTCTATTGAAACCTATCTTACAATTATTATGTTGCATTAATATAGCTGCGCATGCACTTAGAGTACATTGCAATAAACTAACAGAAAAAGATGAGGGGAACGGTGCTATATTGCATTTAAATGAAGCAACAATTCATTAATCTCTTTATCGGTTTTGCTGGACTATATGTTGTAGGTCCACAGAAAGGAGAAATTGTTATAACAACACTCAGATCATAACAAAATGCAATAGAATTTAGAGAGAACCATACTCTGATCAGGAATCAATAACGCCAATTAGGAAAACGTAACTGTTTTAAGTCACATCGAGATATCAAGGTAATTTTATATTCCAAGACCTCCTGCGCTTCCTATCTGTGATCCAAGCAAGGGGGAGAACTACAAGCACAGAAGTTCATGGTCAGAGAGAGAAATGAGAAAAAAATGATGAGCACAAAGTTAATGGACATCAGAGAGGCGAAATGAGAAAAGTTGATGCCAAAATGGAAAACTACAAGATAAAGCAAACAGGACACAAAATGCTAGAAACACAAGCAGCACATTTCACAAATTTACCACAGCAAAACTGATGAGACATCAGATTCGACATGTTACCGTCGTTCATACGGAGATCGGAGACTACGACAGAGCCTTTACTTTTGATATATCTTGTATTTTATTTGTTCTTGCATTTTATGTTTCCCTAGTTTATCCCTGTGGTATTCGAGTCCGTTATTGTAGCCCGAGGCTTGTTCTATTATTATTTCTTTCATTTTGACCTATTTATAGGAGGCCTATCTGCATTGTTAGATGTTGTTTATGAATGAAAATTTCTCTACTTCTTACCATGATCTCTTGGTGAGTTCTTGAGAGGGAACAACCCTTAGTGGGTGAGAGCAATATCCGTCAATCTTGGTGGATTCCAAGGTTCCGGTTCATCGTCTTCCTTCACCCACATCCCCTAACCTCCCTCCCTTGCTCAAGACCCGCCCGGGGCCTCCGTCACTCCCATCGCCTCTTCTCCTCTTCTAAAACCACCCACCCATCCCCACCGGACTCCGCAGTTCGTCCGGCCGCCGGCCACCACCAGCTCCACCGCCGGCCCTCCACCTCAACCGACCGCCCCCGGAGCCCCCCCCTTGTATTCCCAAGCGCCAGCACACCCCTCTTTACCCGAAATTTGATATCAAATTCCTTGGCCATTAATCACTTCCTATATAAGTTTAAAGCAATTAGGAAATTATCAAATTGGATTTAAGATGAATTTGAAATTCGAATTCTTTCCTAATGCTAAAACTTCAATTTGGAAATCTCCCCTTTAAATTAAATTTGAAATTAAATTCGGATTTGATTTGAATTAGTTACTTAAACCTTGAGGCCCACCTATTTAAAACAAATCCCCTCCCTCCTCTCTCTATATGGCAGGCCCCTTCATGTGTCTTTCTCTCTCCAATTTTCATTAATTGCTCTCTATTAAGACTCCTAATTATCTCCCACCAATTCCTCCCTCCTTGATTTCTTTCAATGAGAGGTTTGAATTCAAAATTCAAAATTCTTTCCCTCCGAATTCACCAAATCTGAAATAATTCAGATTTCTTCTTAATTCTTCTCATCCCTAGCCTAGACCAAAGCCCCCCTCCCCTCTCCACCTCCTCCCATCCCGAGAGCTCACCCAACCCCCTCCTCCTCTTAACCAAGTATCCTAAGTGGCGGCTCCTCCATTGTTACTCCATGTTACATATCAATTCCGCTCATTAATTCATGAATGGCGGATCCGGAAGTTGATCACGACCTATTTCTCAATTCTCGCGGGAGATCAAACGTCATCCGGTCACCATTCTTTGACCTCGGATTAGAGCGACACGAGAACACCGTCAAGGAATACTTGACCGTATCCTTCCTCACTTTGCGGAAATCTTCGAAGAGAAACGACTTATTGAAGAGTGGAAGATCACCGGACAGACTACCCGCACCTCCAACTCCGGCTCCTTCCTCGGCGACTAGCCCCCTTGGCATCACGTGTCTACTAGTGGCATCCCTAAGTTTGTTTGCAATCCTCCTCTGCTAAACACGAGGGATATCAAGAGTGTAAGTGAGGGATCCGAGGTAAATGATCTAGATCTTAAACTGTGGATTGTGTTATTGGCCATTTGCTCTACTTACTTATTTGTTGATGTAATTTTGCAAGTATTCGTTTATGTTATACTACGCCAAGTTCACAATTTATTAATCTTCATACAAGCAATTCTTGTTCGTCCTCATTGTATCACATTACTAGCAATATTATCTTCATGAATTAAACCAAGCATATTGCTTGCAGTGATTATCACATCATCAAAGAATCATCATACCATATATTCAAATGAAAATCAAATAGTAATCTCTTTAACAACATTCTATCATCTCTTCACTTTTCCAATATTTATAACAAGCTAAACTGATTGTTTTATATGATCTAGCTTGATTTGAGAGTGTAATCAAAGAAAGAAAAGTGCTAAATGCAAAAGGAGTACTAAATAAAAAAGATGATTTATGGTTGTAACATATCTTGATAATAGAGGACATTCTCCTCTTTATTTTCTTTCCCCTTTTTCTCTCTTTGTTAATATTCTAAATATATTTAATAATATATATATATATATATATATATATAAGTGGCTCTTGTATTCAATCAATATACATATGAAAAACCTTCTTTAAAAAAGTAATCATGGTTGATTTATTGCCACTTCTGATAATTCACGTCATATAAGATTGTTCTAATTTGATGCATGGATTATATATTCTATGAGATAACATGCATTGCAATCGTAGCCAGAGGGCGAACCAGCCCTAATTTCGAGGGGGAGGGGGGGGGGGGGGGGCTGGGGGGGGACTTATAAGGCATATATATAGGGGTTCCAAGGGGGCAACGCCTCTTAGCGGGGTTCGACCTGCCTGGTCAGGTCACGGGGTCAAGGGGCAGCGCCCTTGCGAGGGTTTATGGGGGCAGTGCTAGAAACAAATTTTGGTTTGAAGGATATTTTTGGAATTCAATGATGAATTCTCTTTACTATTTGTTGGGGGCAATTACTTAAAGACTATAATATTTTAAAATTTTAGGGGGCCAAAAAACCTTTATAATAAAGACTTAAAAATGAATGGAGATGATAAATTACCTAAAAAATCATATAAATAATTTTTTTAAATTTTTTGAGGGGGGCAATTGCCCCCCTGACACCAATGGGGTTCTGCCCTTGATCGTAGCACTTTCCAGCTAAAATCATGCTTTAAGCCTTGATAAAGCATTGCCGTTTTATGTTTTTAAATAGAGCTTCAATTTTCCTGATAAACTCCTCATCTGTTGTTTTTTTTTTTTCCTTAACATGCTCCACTAAAATAATGAGTTTTTTCATTGTTTTATTAGGCAAAAAAAAAAGTTCTTCTCGTTGACCATGACCATGATAGTTTTATTTGCCTGATATTGGTAACATGAATCATCAAGATAGTGACTGAAATCCCGTATGAATGATTAATGATTGGGGTTTCCTAACCTTCAGGTATTTAAAGGGCATCATCACATGTGATTTAGTTGAATAATATAGGAAATTCTTGAGACAAAATGGAAGACTGACTTTCAAACCATGCAAAATCTTGGCATCTTAATCTTCTAGTGATTTTCAATTGTTTTCATTTTTAACATCCATCATAATAAAAAGAATTTTTTCATTGCAATAGACCTTAGCATAAAGGGAAATATGTATAAAGAATTATTTTCGTTGTAATTAACACAAAAGGATGGTAAATTGAGAAAAAGGCAAGATAAGTTATAGAAGCAAGGAGCAATTGGACTAAAATAGAAAGGAAGTTAAACTTACTTTACTATCAACTGAAACTCCCAAGATTTCTGTGTTTAATTTTTCAAATTCAGGGTGACGATCACTGAAGGCAGTAATCTCTGAAAACAGGAAATTCCAGAATAAAGTTTATGCATTTGGTGCGAGTGCAGGTGCCAGGGTTAGTTAGATAGCTATGCAATAGAAGAGTTAGAATTTACCTGTGGGGCAAACAAATGTGAAATTTAGTGGGTAGAAAAAAAGAATAACATGTTTCTTGCCAATATAATCCGAAAGTTTGACCTACAAATGCAAATAACTAGAATTACTCATCTGATACTGAAGAAAAGCAGGAGTTGCTCTTCACAGACCTGCAATCGAGATTAAAGCAGAGAAATAACAGTGACAGTAAATAGCAGATAATCTCTTCATCATTCCTTGTCCATCCATTGTTTACTACAGTGCTCATATATAGACTATGTGAATACAAGTGTAGGGCTGATATGCCATATGGTTTGTTTGTTATAAATGGATGGTGATTAGCTGAGTTGTTTGTTGTTGTCAGAGAGTGTGGGTGTGATAGTGGAGAGGTGTGCTAATACTTCCCGCAAAGTGATGGGTCAGGTTGAACTGTCAATTTGGAGCGCAACTGCTGAAATCTTTTGGTGGACAGCAGCTTGGTGAAGATGTCCGCAAGTTGGTCCACAGAGCTGATTGGAGTGAGTCTGATATGCTTAGCTTGAATGTGATCCCGAATGAAATGATGATCAATTTCAATGTGTTTGGTCCGGGCATGAAGCAACAGATTGTTTGCAATGGATATAGCTGACATGTTGTCACAGTAGAGTGTGGTTGGTGTAGTCGTGGGAATGCTGAAGTCATTTAATAATCTGCGAAGCCAGATAATATCTGCAGTAGCGGCTGCAATAGGCCTGTACTCAGCCTTCGTCGAGGATCGAGCTATTGTATGTTGTTTCTTAACACTCCAGGAAATAAGTGTGGATCCTAGGAGCGAACAGTATCCAAATGTAGACCTTCTGGTGACTGGATCACTTGCCCAATCCGCATCAGACATGGACATGAGATGGAGTTTGTCAATGCATATAGGAAGACCAAAGTGAGAGGTTCCTTGAATATAACGTAACAGCCTTTTTAGTTGGTGAAAATGCGACTGTTGCGGAGCATGCATATGTTGGCATAGAACATTAACCGAGTAGGGTATGTCGGGTCTAGTGATGGTGAGGTATTGAAGGGATCTGATAAATTGTTTGTAGATTAGAGGATTGTTGAGGATGGGATCGGAGAAGGTATCTGTGGTGGGTATGGTAGAATTTGGATTGGAAATAGGTTTGCAGGAAGTGAGGCCAACTTGTTGAAGAATTGACTTGGCGTAGTGCGTTTGAGAAAGAAAGTAGGAGCTGGTGGTAGTTTGAATTTGAATACCTAGGAAGTTGTGGGCTGTTCCTAGGTATTTCATAGTAAATTGTTGACTGATTTGGTGAATAAGAGTTGAGACAGCTTATTGGTTATTACCGGATAAGATAATGTCGTCAACATAGATTAGAAGATAGATTTGGATGTCAGTTTTAGAGAAGGTGAAGAGAGATTGATCCGATTGACTATGGTGGAAACCTTGAGAGAGGAGATATGTGGAGATTTTATGGAACTTGGAGCTTGCTTGAGGCCATAGATGAACTTTTTTTAGAAGACAAACATGAGTAGGATGGAGATTGTCCTCAAAACCTCGAGGCTGAGTTTGTGAGACATGTAGACTGTTTCATGTAAATCACCATGGAGAAATGCATTAGCGACATCCATTTGATGTACTGACCATTTGTGATGGAGAGTTATAAGGAGAAAGACTCGAATAGTCGGCATTTTGGCTACCAGACTAAAAGTGTCATTGTAGTCAAGGTCATGTTCTTGATGATGCCTTGGGCCACAAGACGTGCTTTGTGACGAGCAATATTTCCATTCGAGTGGTATTTGGTGCGATATGTCCAACGACAGCCAAGAACATTGGCATTGGGAGGAGAAGGTACAATTGTCCAGGTCCCTTGTTGTTGAAGAGCTAGAAACTCAAGGGCCATGGCTTCACGCCAGTGTGGAGATTTAACAGCTTCCGAATAGGTACTTGGATCGGAATGAGGGGCGTGAGTATTGAGTTGTATCTTATGGAGAAGGTTAAGTAATGTACGTGGTTTTAGAGAGCCCGTTTTGAAACGTGTAATCATGAGGTGAGGTATCGGAGCATTGGAAGTGGTGGGGAGGTTTGTGGTAGTGGGAGAAGGGGAGGGTTGTGGCTGGGAAGAGGTAGAGTTTGTAGAGCTGGTTGTAGATAGAGTTTGGACATTTGGGATTATAGTGGGAGGTTGGTGGGGTAGAGTGGATGTTGGGATAAGAAGTGACAGGTTAGCTGTTGAGGAAGGAGGTGTGGACTGAGTGGGTAACGAGTGTAGTGGTATAGAGAGGGGGAATGAATCTTCGTCAAAAATAACATGCCTTGTTATAATAATTTTGTTGGTGGATAGATTGAGGCATTTGTAGCATTTGTAGGATTCATAGTAGCCTAGGAAAAGACATTGTGGAGCTCGGGGGGCAAGCTTGTGGCCCTGAGAATGTGGTAATCAGGGATAACAAGCACACCCAAATGTTTTGAGGTGTGAGTAGGTTGATTTTTGGCTATATAGGAGCTGAAATGGTGATTTGTTTTGTAGAGTTACTGAAGGTATTCTGTTGATGAGATGGACGGCCGTGAGGGCTGCATCAGGCCAGAAATGATATGGAAGATTTGTTGTATATAATAATGTTCTGGTCGTTTTAATGATATGTTTGTTTTTGCATTCTGTTGTCCCATTTTGCTCTGGGGTATAGGGGACATGATATTTGTTGGTGTATGCCACTATGTTGGAGAAATGACAGGAGTTTAGAATTTAGGAATTAGGATCCCCCATCTGTTTGTAGGCATTTGATTTTATGAGAGAGTTGATTTTCAATGAACGTTTTGAATTGAATTATTATTTGAGTGACTTCAGATTTGGCACGCATCATAAAAATCCAGGTAAAACAAGAGAAGTCATCAATGATAATAAGGTAGTATTTATAGCCTTGAGTAGAAAGAGTTGGGGATGGACACCATACATTTAAGTGAAATAGAGCTAAAGGAAATAAAGCAGACTTGGTGGAATTGGGAAAAGCTAACTTATGGCTTTTAGAAGCCTTACAAACAGAACAGAAATTGATAGAGGGAGGAATAGCAAGTTCTCTTTTTTCATTAGAGATAACTGCTAGCACTTGACTATGTGGATGACCAAGGCGGTTGTGCCACCGAATTGAGGAGGATGTGGTGGCCGAGAGTGCTGATAGAGACTGAGCCGCAGACAGAAGTTTAATTGTGTACAGACCATTGCGACATGATCCCTATAGGAGGATTGTTTGAGTCTTCAAATCCTTAATGGAAAAGCCAAATGAAGAAAAGACAACATAAACATTGTTGTCATGAGTGAGGTTAGAAATAGATAACATGATATGAGAAAGTGTGGGAACGTGATAGATTTGAGGAAGAGATAACTTACAAGTTGGAGTTGGGAGAAGACCTAGTCTGGAGTGAGCTATGGGAAGGTTTTGTCCATTGCCAACAGTGATGTTGTCCACACCTTGATATGAATTTGGCTATGCGATGTTGTCCAAGGAATTCGTGAGATGCGAAGTTGCTCCAGAATCAATATACCAGTCCTGAGAGGATATTATCAAGTCTGCTATGAGAGCTTTGGAGGGATTTTGCGATATAGTGGGAGTGTAGTTCACATTTAGGCGATGCCAGCATTGAGGTGCAGCGTGACCTCGTTTGGCACATATTTGACATATAATTATAGAGGATGAGTTGGAGCGATCGCCTGTGTTGGTATTGTTTGTAAATCTGCCTCTGCCGCTACGTCCACAACCGCAAGAAGTATATAGTGCCATACTTGGATCGGCTAAATGAGGATCTCTATTTGATTCAACAGCAAGATTGATCTCCTCAGCGAGAAGATATGAATAGAGCTCATCCAACATAACGGGGCTTCGTTTGGTTCTAATCGAGGTCTTGAATGCTTGATAAGCCGGTGGCAGCCCATTAAGTATATAAAGGATACTGTCTTCGGAGTCGACGTTCGAACCAGGTGCGACAATGTTGTCTACTAGGGTATTGATTGCCGTAAGATATTGTGCCATTGTGAGATTGCGCATAGAAATATTGTGTAGCTCGTTTTTCAGTTGTATTACCCTGGATCTGTTGGATTCCTAGAGTCTTTGTTCAAGGGTATGCCAGATGTCGGAGCAACAGTCTAGATGAAGAACATACGGTAAGATCGAGGGTGATATGGTTGAGCATATAGCAGCTGCTAGATTCTGATCTATGAGTAGCCATTGAGTGTAGGCCGGATTGAACGTTGTGGTGCCATCAGATTGTTGAAGAAGCTTATGAGGGTGGGACTCAGAGCTATCGAGATGATTGTCGAAGCCATTTGCTCGGAGTAGTTTGAGTATTTGCAACCTCCACAGGGTAATTATCATTAGAGAGAGAGGCAAGTATTATGGTTTTGATGTTAGAGAGAACAAGTTTAAGGGAGGAGGGTATAGGTAGCGGATCTGCAAATGTAGTAGCCGAATAATCGGTTGTTTGCGAAGAAGACGATTGCGCCATTCTCACTGTTGCTGGGAGAAAAGTTCTCTCAGCCCTGCTCTGATACCATGAAGAAATGCAGGAGTTGCTCTTCTACAGACCTGCAATCGAGATTAAAGCAGAGAAATAATAGTGACAGTAAATAGCAGATAATCTCTTCATCATTCCTTGTCCATCCATTGTTTACTACAGTGCTCATATATAGACTATGTGAATATACGTGTAGGGCTGATATGCCATATGATTTGTTATAAATGGATGGTGATTAGGTGAGGTGTTTGTTGTTGTAAGAGAGTGTGGGTGTGATAGTGGAGAGGTGTGCTAATAGATACCAAGCATTTTTTATACTTTATAACTACGCATACCCCTCCATATATAAAGATTAAAATACATAGCCTTTTTCCTGTTTATGACAAAATATAGATGGATGAATGATTATGAACAATGAATCAACAAATGATAAAATCTATGCAAAACCTTTATTAAAAATCAAAGATGGTACTTCAATTCTGACGGGGTTGTATCTTCTGGCAAAGGCGGACAAAATTTTTGGCCACATAATTATTGATGGCATTCATAAAAGTTTTATGTAGATATGGAGACTTCTTCATTTATTTTAGGATTTTAATTGTTGATCGGGTGTGAAACTTGTAGAATTTCGGGAGTGTTAATTTATGGTTTTTAAATTTTATCATTTTATTAGGATTATACTAATTAATGTCATTAAGTTTCTTAGATATTTTTTTCATGGTTTGTTAGCAATGTTTTAGCAAATCATTAACAATTTATTATCAGTTCATAAGTAACTTTTTAGTTGTTTATAAGTCGTTGCTACCTGCTAGTAGATTATTATTTCTTCTATCCATAGATATGAGATTCTTAACCATGTAAGATAGTTGATGGCATTCATAGAACTTTGATTGTACACATGGAGATTTCTTCATCTATCTCCGAATGTTGATCCTTGATCAAGTGAGATTTCTTCATCTATTTTGCCTACGTTCTATGAGAGATCTAATCATATAGTATTTTCATATTAGATAAACAATAAAAAAGAATTCTTTGAAAGATATAATATGCCTCGCTCCAAAGAGTTAAGTTTGCTAGAACAAACTTAATAAAATTACGTACTTTATACCATTTAAAGTATAATATTTTAGCTGGATTTTTTTAGTTTATCTTTAACTACACAATCTGACTACAATTTGTTAGTGTTTGCTAGCAGGTTGTTAGCAATTGGGCAGCAATTTATTTGTCCTCTATTAGCAGTTTGTAATTTCTCTCATATATAAAGACGAAAGTTATATAAGCATATTAAGATAGTTAATGGCACGAAAAAAAAATCCTCTTCATCTATTCCAAATTTTAATTTTACTTTCTTTTAGTGAATTTTTACCTTTTCTTCCGCTCTTTTCTTCTTTGATGCTTTTCTTTAGTGGTTTGAAATAAATATTATATTTGACTATACTTGCTAAATCTAAAATTTTGTCAATCGCATTAAGTTCAGCTTGTACATGGCTTTCATTTCGCATAAGATAAGAGAAATTTTGTTTGAATTGATTTCTATTATTTTTATTGTTATTATTGTATCAAAAGTAATCAAAAGCTGTTTTAGCTTAATAGATTTTATCCTATGAATATTTTATATTTGTTACATGGTTTCAGCATCGCGAGCTTGATCAATATTAGAGGCCATGTATCTAAGAAATCCTGTATCAAATGGATGGATCTTAGTTCAAGATTTGAATTCACGCATCTGTTAGACAGAAAGTTGATGAAAATGAGTTCCTATGTATGAAGCTCTCCTTCATAAATGTGAAAAGCAAATTCCATTTCTAAGATCTTGCAAGTCATCTTCACTTTTGTGTTTGCATATAACAGTAAAATGATAATAAAAAGCAAATGGAAAATTAGTTAAATAGAGATTACTTGCACAAATTAAAGAGGATTAGAACCATTATTCTAATATATTAAGTTAACTAGTTCTACATAAATAAAACAAGGAATAAGAAGCATAAATAAGTTAGCATCAATGATTAAATATCGAATGACCTGGTAGGGAAATAGTTATTAATTAATAATTAGGATAATAAATTTGTCTACTTAGTCTAGAGTTATCAATTAATAGATTAATCGGGATAAAAATTTAGGCTAATAAGTTATTAAGTAATAACTAGGAGAATAAATAATATGGCATACATTAGTTAATTTAAAACTCATTATTCGTATCAAGTAATAATCACTATTAAGGATATTATATCATATGATTTAGGCTGATTAGCCATTAATTAATGAATGAGACAGCCAAATAAGTCTAATTAGTTATAGAATTATTAAATGGCATACTTCTTAGTTCTAACAAAAATTAATTAAACTAATTATCAAAGTACATTTAATTTATAAAAGAATATAAAGCTATCTTCTTAATTGGGCCAATATTATGTTAATTATTGTTAAATATTAATTAAACCAAGCTTCTGTAGAATTTATAATACCCAAAACAAACGCATGACTTGAGTTCGGAAAGGTGGTGAGTTAAACACAAACAGAAGCCACTTACTCAATTCAATGAATCTCACCTATAACAGCATTTGAAAGAATGGCAATATCGACAACGATTGTAGCTCTCATTAGCAATGCTTTGAATAAAATATAATACGAGGAGAAATCATGAGGACAAGAGAATTACGCATCCATAGTCCCTATACCTGAACAAATTCCTGATCAAAAACTGCCTCCGCCTCAAAATCAGGTGCAGGATTTCCAACCAATGGCAGCTTTTCCTACGGAAATTATATATAGAATCCAAATCAAACTATAACCTTAAAGAATAAAAGAAACTGTGGTAGGTGAAAAAAAAAACAAATAAATACAACAAATGAGAAGTTTAACTTTCTAAACTAGAGTAGAAAATGCATAGAAGTAGGATTTTGGTTGGTGGTTTTTAAAATGAATGCATTTTAGATATACAAACTAATTGAAATATGTGTGCTTTTAAATGGATGGGCTGTTTGATTGCATGCAAATCATCAAATGTATTCTTCTTCTTCTTCTTTTCTCTTTTTTTTTGTTATGATGCATTTTATAATGATGAGTGGGGGTAGGGTGCGGTGGCGGTGAGCAACGGTGGGCAACAATAAGCGGCGAGCGGTGATGGCTATGGTGATGAGAAAGCAAGCTGGAGGTGGGCGATGGTGCCATGCAGTTGCTACGACTATGGCGGCAAAGATGGGAGGCTATGATGGCAAGAGGCATCACAGAGTGAAGAGTAGGCTGTATTGGCGATGACTGACAAATAGGTGCCTTAAATGATAATAAAGTTTGTAAGTAATAAAAAATGCCAAAATAAAAATACTTCTGTAAATCAATTTGTTATGGGGCGGCATCTTAATATGTGCATTATGTTTCTTCATTGCAACAAAAATGTCGATCGACCATGGAATCGATGATAAAATATGCTATCAATCTCAACATATGCTATCAATATGTTTGCAAGAAAATCATCTTAAATCTTCTTTCGTTGCCTTGTTTTAACAATCTTCATTGCTGAAAACTATACATTTAGTTCTTGTTGAAACAATTTGACTTAAGACTACATAATCAATCAAATAAGCATGAATATTAAAGTTTATAGAGAAATTCTATAAAAATTGATTATGTTGATCTTCAATTTCAAAAGTTGCATCTCAAATTTCAAGTGAAGCTATTATTGATGTATGAGCCCATTAGGAAAAAATTTGCAAGGTTACCCGTATCTTCAATCTTAAATGAATGGCATCTATCTTGAGGACTGATGGGAGCTCTTTGCATACACTAATAAATAAGTTGAAAGTGTAATTCATGCAAAGTAGATAATACACAGGTGTATGTGCCGATCAAGTAATAAAGTGTTGAGTATGATGTCAATCCCATGAGGAAAATAAACTATCCTATCTTCGTCCAAATACTCTTTAATTGAGTTATGGAATTTATCCTACCAAATCCAATTGAAAATTATTTCGTAAATTTTAACCACCGCAGATGTAAAGTGAAATATTCAGAAAATTTAAAGCGTTCTGAACTTATGATGGTGATAAATGTAATGTTTTTTTTCTAATTTGACTCTTCTAATGTTTGTTGTGAATAAGAACATATACACTCTTATATCTATGTCGAGCTTATAAGAGTTTAAAGTAAAATTTTCACCCTAAAACAATTGTTACATATCCATATATCCCAAAATCATAACTATCTTATGTCTAGGCATGGTTGTTTTATGTTGCAAGACAACTAATTGTTCCATCATTCCTCTATTGAGGCAAAGAATCACAATATATTTTAAATTAAAGCATGGTCATTGCACTAACCTAATGAAGTATGAAAGTAATTGAAAACAACATTCAATAGTTTAAGTTCAAGAGTTTACTTAAATAAGCCATACACTATCTCACATCAGAAGTCCAAAACAATAAGTTTAGCTAGCTATGGAATGAGATTCACACAAAACATATTTCATTTACTCAAAAACAACAAAATACAGGAGTAGTGGTTCAAGATAACACCCGAAATCACTTTTACAAGCACATACAAACACTGAAGATCTTCTGGATTGATTTTGTAGAAACACAAACTCTCCTCTCACTTTACTCACGCTCACGCACTGTTTTTATTCACAAAATAAATGGCCAGACCTTACAAATTCGAAATGAAAATTATTTATACTTAATACACAAAATTAACACTAACGTCATGACGTTGTAGAGGTATGTGCCACAGTGCTACTAATTGGACTAGCACAATGGCAATGGCTAATGTTAACCGCTGCGACGCTTGTATCAATCGATGCACCACTTCACTAGTTAAACCACTCCAACTTCCTCGTCGTTGCGTCGTTGGCAATTTAGTGTAGCAAAGCCACCATGGCGCTTGGGCGCTTCAGAAGACATAGTTGTGGAGTTGAGTCGATTCTGTATAGGGGTGTCAATATTTTACCCGACCCGAAACCCGACGTAGACCCAACCCGAAAAATTCAGGGTTCCGATCAACCCATTTTGCAAACGAGTAGGGTTTCGGTCAACCCAAAAACTCGAAATCAACTTGTTCTTGACCTGAAATCAACCAAGGTAGCCCCCTCACTCGAAGCAGTCCCATGCTCGAGCCTGCAACAGTCTCGCCCTCACGCCCGCAGTAGTCCGGCACCCGCGCTCACCACATCGCCCGCACACTCTTGACCTCTTGCATGCAAGCTCTCCTGCACATGCTCACTCCCCGGTCATGAGGCTCGCCCGCTCTCACCCCCTTTGCACACACACGCTCCAAGCACGGCACTCGTGCTCACACTGCTCGCGCCTAGCTACTTGCGAGTTAGACATTCGGGCCCGAGTTCAGGTCTAGGTTTGGATTTCTGACATGTTTGCCTAGTCGAGTTAGATCAATTGAAGTCGGGTCAATTTTGTGTTGGGCCCAAACCCAACCTAAAAATCTATTTTGACACCCCTAATTATATATTTTTCCGAATTGAGTGGCATAATGAAGCTCCAAATGAAGGCATTGGGGCGCTACTGATATTGCGGCGCTTGAAGGTTAGGCGATAGAATGTTGAATTAATTTGCAAAATTTTCTAACATAGTTGCGCTACAACGTAGATTGTATGGGCGCTGTGACGCTAGAGCCAAATCCTATTTTATGGTCTTTTTTCTTGAATTTCCCTGCACAACATCAACCAAAACAAACATTTTCAAATGAATATAGGCAAGAAAATATTAACACAATTTTCATTTAACAATGACCTAATGTTGAACTCAAAATAAGAGATTATTCATAAGTTGTTCATTTCTTCCATATTCTAAAATGGCTACAAAAATATCAAGTATATCCATGACCCTCATAGTGGAGAGAACTCATATTTGATGTATATTCCTCTTCTCACAAAAATTATTAACCTTTTCAAACAAAGAATCAAACTTGTTGTCTCTTTGTTTTTTATAAGACAAAAAGCTAGGACTCCAAGAAAATATTAAGCCCCCCTTTGCCAAGGCCCACTTTTGTGACAGCATTGTGTGTATTATTATCACCACCAAACTAAACCAAAATTGCGTTAGACCTCTCAAGATGACCTTACCAGACACTCTCCTCCTCATCCTCCAAATGCTTTAAAAGAGGGGGGGGGGGGGGGGGGGGGGGGGGGGGGGGGGGGGGGGGGGGGGTAAATGATGACTGATGCTCACTTTGCTCCTTCCAAATGTTCACCCACATACCACTTGCTGAGATATCATAACTCACCATGGGTTGAGAAGTCAAGACCGCCAACACACCATGGCTACGGTGTAACATGACACCAAATGAGGCAGCACCCACCCATCGACATGCCCCTTGTCGTGGCATCAACTCCATTAGTAGGACTATGCCTGGATCTCCAAGTGACATCTACAAATAAAAGAAAAATAGGTTCCCAACCCCTATGTTTTCACTGATCCTTTTAGTTTATCAACCTCCTCCGTGCAAGCTCCATAGGTGCGGCCTGAAGAATAAAGATAAGGAATTTCTTGGTTATAGTGCCTAGATCTGCACAGTGGAGACAAAAATCAAACCACTTAAAATTTGTTGTCCTGTGATACCTTCTCCTATAGTGGCATAACTCTCTCCCCCCTCCCCAACCCCCTCTCTTCCTCCCCCAATCAAGAAGTAATCTTCACTTAAAAAATCTCTCTCATCCAGGAGTGCTCCTATGTTAATCATGTTCAATCATCATTGGATGAGAAGTCAACGTTCATAGCAAACTTAAAGTTCAAACTAAACATCTCAAGAGACGAACCTACAACACCAAACCGGTCAACCCAAGCCCAAATTGATCCAATCGGGAGCCCGAACCACATTTGGAAGGGTTAAAGCATTATTTGGGTACAAAATGATATTCAAATATGACAATGCTTAATAGTCAAATCGAGCAGCGTCGGGCAAGACAAATTCAACAAGCTCAAGATCTTGAATTCTGACATCATTAAGGCACTTAGATAATTGAAAATCTCTCTATGATTGGGGGAATCAACACGAGCCATCCGATGGAGCGCTTTGAACCTACCCGGTTCTCTATATTTATGGATGTGTCACCCATGAAAATCTATAAATAGACCCCAGACCCCCTACTCTCTAATGAAGGAAACCTTTTGGCTAGAATTGAAAAAGAGCCTCTGAAGTTTCCAAGACTCTAGCACTACCGCCAGCTACCGACCGTCGCCGGACTTCAGCCCGACCATCGTCAGACCACCACCCAGCTGCCGCCAGACTCTGCCCAGCCGCAGACCGCGCCGAACTTCAGCCCGAACCATCGTCGGACCACCGCCCGGCTATCAACCATCGTCGGATCGCTGCCCGGCTGTCGACCGCAACCGGACCTCTGCCCGGCCACCAACTAGCGCCAAACTTTAGTCTGACCTTCATCGGTCCACCGTCCAGCCGCCGACCGCAGCCGGACTTCAGCCCGACCGCCGACCGCCAACCACTGTCGGACTTCCGCTCGAACGTTGACCGCCGTCAAACTTCAGCCCGACCATTGTCGGACCACCGCCCGGCCGCCGACCGTCTCCAAACTTTTACCTGGCCGCTGCCTGACTTCCGCTCGACCTTTGTCGGATCGTTCCATGTCAGCTGAACTTCTGCACAAACGCCGTCGAACTTCCGCCCGACCGTCCCCAGACATTTGTCTAGCTCTCCAAACTAATGTAATTTGACCACCTCTAAATCGAGGGATGGTTCAACCCTTATAATTCACTTAAGTTTAGCGGAATCTTTTCACATGGGCGAGGCCCCGTGACTTTTCCCTCTTTGGGTTTTCCACATAAAAAAAGATCGGGTGTTTTAATTCTCTCTTTCTGTTTGTATGTTGGATATTCGCGCATCGCTAAGATGAAAAAGTTTACTCACCCTACCATGGCGAATCTTCTAACCAGCAACAATATATATATATATATACACACACACACACGCCTGCCCCCTTGTCACACAAAGAAAAAAAAACATTAAATAATATACAATTTCCGATCCGAAGTGAAAAGCACCGTATAATAGTGATCTTCATCCACGAAACAGTGAGAATTGTAAATGTTGAACGAAGACGGAAACGAGAAAGTCTACCTCGCTGACAGCATTCGCAACGAAACTCCTTGGTACTCTGGAAGCCCAGATCGAGGGGGAAGAGTAAAATGGCTCGGATCTCCTCCGAAGGCCCTGAAAATTCCTGGAAAGAGCTACGGTTTGCGAGAGGTTGCCAATTGCAAACGGGAGCGAGTTCACTGAGAGAGACGAAGTGAAGCTGGAGAAAGCCCCGGCAGCAAGGCTTGCTGAAGCCATAGTCACTGATATCTGAGCTCTCACGGCTCGGAGGGCTGAGTCGAAGATTCAGGAGAGCTAAATGTTCGTGGTGGTCGAGTGATGAGCGCTGACTGAATAATTCTATGAATTTCTCGAAAACCTTTCGGTCCAAATCGTTTATTTGACACAACTCGACTATTGGTTGAGAGCTAAGGCTTCCAACTAAGAGGTTTAAGGTTCGGATTTCTGTGTATGCGTTTTGTGTGTTAGTTTACCTTAAATGATCTAAATGTCCCAAAAAAATCGTTTATTTGATTTTTTTTAATACTTAATGACATATTATTTAATTTTATAATTATATTGATGAATCAACTTATTCCATTATTATGCAAATAAGTTATTCTATTAAATTATTATTTATGTATTATTTGAATATTTAATTGACATGATATATAATAAATTATAATAAAATTAGATTTTATATCAATAATAATTAAAGACTTGTTCAGAATAAAATAGAAAATATCATTTTTTATTAGATTTAAACAATAATTTGACTTTTAACAATACAAAATGGAGAAAAAAGATTCATGTATCCGACCCCAAGTAGTGGGACAATGGCTTAATGTTGTTATTGCTGCATTATCAATAATCATTAAGTGTTTTATGTTGTCAATGTCCAATTTTTTTTTTATTAGTGTTGTGATAAAATTGTCTTTCATATGTGAACTTTTGTGGGTTGTATGTATAAAATGTATGTAAATAATAGCACTTTTATTATGTGGATCTTTTTGGACACTTTTATTATTGTTTTTATTTTTTTTATTAATAGCAAAAAAAATTAATATAGTTATAATTTTCTCATCATGATCATCAATCAAGAAAAATTTAGCTCTAAATATCTATCATAAGGCACCTAAGAGGATGATGATGGCAAATAAGGGAGGGATCAAAGTTACAATGATGCTTAATTGTGTTTTAACTATTAGATTTTTATTTAATTATGACTTTGTTTGATAAGTTTTCTTACTACTTGTTAATGCAGCTTTTTTTTACTAGAAAACTACTTTAAGAAATAATAAGAAATCAATATCAAACGAAGTCTATATCAACTTTATAATTTATTTTGTTATAACTTTTATAACTCATTCTTACAAATTATAGTATTTCATATATTATTGGCAACTAAGTTCAAACTATGCTCAAATCTTACTTAAACCTAATTTACACAGAATTTGAACGACCCTAGTTTGAATAAGGTTCAAACATGATTCTAACCTTGGTCAAATATGATTCATATCTTATTAAAATCCTATTATAATTAATGCATGTGTGGTGAACTTTAAATAAGTAATTCATGGTCAAAAGGGGAGGTATTTTAGTTCAAAATAAAAATTTGAGCGTATATATATATATATATATATTCAATTTTTATTGTACATAATGTTATAATGTAAAATTTTTGAATTAGTCATTAAGTGATGTAGATTATACTAGGCAAAAGAGAAAATAATGATAAAGAGTTGTTCGTTTATGTGATATTTGATAAACATGGGCATTAAAATGGATGGAGAAAATAGTGGCGGTTTCACCCAATATCTTCATGAAAAAGCTACTTGTCTTCTGATAGTTGTTTACTTTTCATGGAGCCAACATGTAGCTAATTTAAAAAAAATTAAGTTTATATCCTTGTTGCGTCCAGGATTATTCGTGACGGTTGAAAAATATAAAGTTTGTCTTAGCTTTGTACAAAGATCCAGCACGTATACAGATAAAAAAAGAGGGTGTAGCATTCATAAGAGATATCAAGATTTTTACGTGGAAAACCTTGAAAAGGGTAAAAAACCACAGGTCTTGGCCCCTACTATTATTTGCAGTCAATTACAAACGAGGCTCTTCATTGGGGGAAAGTCTTAGCTTAATGTAACAAATATACATCATACAAAATATGTTATATGGTGGAAACAAGAAGAATCACTGTTGACGTGTTCGTTTGGTTGAAAGGACCATAATCGGTAGGCGACAGAGGTCATAAAGAAAATTGTATGGTGACGGAGGTCGGAATGATCGTAGTCGGCATGCGATGGAGGTCGGAAGGACCATTAACGGGGTAGAAGTTCGGCGTTGAGTATAAGTCAGATGAAAGTTTGGCGACGGACAGAACTCCATCGTCAGTTGGCGGTCGGGCATAACTCCGGTGTTGGTTGGTTGTCGAACAGAACTCTGGTGTCTATCGACAGCCGGGCAGAACTCCGACATCAGTTGGTTGTCGAGCTGAACTCTGGTGTCAGTCGACGGTCAGGCAGAACTCCGACGTCAGTTGGCGTTTAGGCAAAGTTCCGACGTCGGTAGTCCGCGGGCGGAAGTCCGACGGTGGTCGAGGAAGAGTCTGGAGGCAAGAGAGCTCTCTTCCTCTTCTTTCTTTTCTCCCTTTTCTTCTTGCTTGTGCCTCCTCCCCCCCCCCCCAATTGGGCGTCCTTTCTATGAGAAATAAGAGGTCTATTTTTTTGAGAGTAGCATGACCCGTAAATAGGAGGAATATCAAGAGTAAATTGGGAGTGGTTTGAATGGACAACTGATGTGGATTCCCTAGATCATGGACCATTTATTTGATATTGAATGTCTTAATAATATTATAATTTGATGAACTTGGGCTCGTTGGATTTGTCTCATTAAGCCGCGTAATTCGACTATAAGCATGCCACATTTAGAGACCATTTGGTAATCCAAATTATGGTTCAAACCTTCCAAATGCACTTCAGGTCCTTGATTTGGACTCATTTGGGCTCGAACTGAGTCAAATTTGGTGTTGTTGGGTTCTTAATTACGAGTCCTTCAGTTCAACTATAAATTTGCTGAAATCAAAGTTCATATGATTTTTATTTAATTTTTAAAATTTACAACTTGATTTATGCCTTGAGATTCTTGCTTGATCAAGATAATTTTTTGCTGATATATCAATCCTAATTTTAAAGTTCTAGTTATATGTTCGTATCACAATATTAATTATTTTGTATTGCATTTGCATAAATCTTAAAGCACATTAAAAAGCTGTGAATTTCTTCTCCACTAAAATATTGTTGGGACATCCTAACAAGATTATTTGCATTATAAATATTAGGCTACAAAAATAAGTACAAGAGTTGCACAACTTTTTCAATAGTTAATTTGAAATAGATCAAATACAAAATAATTGTGTACTATATTGAAAATATCCAGAATGTATATTTTTACAATCTTAAAATTCATTTAAATCATATAAATTCCAAATAAAAAATTTCATAGCCCACAACATCAACTTTCTTGCTTGGGGCCACAACTCAATGCCACATGCCGGTTTGCCCAACCCAACACCTTCACCCGCTCACAATTGTCCATCCATTATCCTTACATATCCCATTGCGTTGCGTTGCTTGCTTATCGCCTCCAATGTCCCATTTGCATCCTCGTGGTCCAATGATGCTGCCCTCGCTTGCAAACTCATTGTCATTCTAGATGTTTTTGTTGTCACATGCTCTTAACACTCGTCATCATCATCGTTCGACCAACTATCATTGCTCGTTAGAAATCGCAATTTTGTTCACCAGCCTATCATCATCATCTATCATCAATACTTCTTACTCTACCACTTATTTTATTTTATTTTATTTTATTTTTTTATTTTTTATTTTTTTTACTCTACCACTTATCTTATGCCATATATCACCTAATAACACTATAGCTTCCTTCATCATCTCCCTCCTATTAACTTTGCTCAAAATAATCAAACTTGTATATATTTTAAAACATTTGATTTGCTTGCAAATGAATAATTTATATATTTTAAAAAATATACATTTTTTTAGATATTTTAAAAAATACAAAAAAAAAAAGTATTATTATTATTATTCGCCAAATTCCACAGCAGCGAAGCCAGGCCCGAGGCATAAGCCATAAGGTAACAATAAAATCGGTGATCTTAAAATTTATCACCGCCGCCTTACACTAGTTGTGTTCCAGTACAGTAAGAGCTATACCAGAGTAAATAATCCCGAGGAGACGGTCGCGTAGCCGCCGATTCAAGCGCTGCCACTAATCGGCCAGCCAAATTTTTTGAATATCAAATAATGAATAATTGTGGGCCCCAAATTTTTTATTTTTTTTTATTTTTAAGAAACCCCCACTCCTCCCCTCCCTATATAAACCTCTATTTCCCTCCATTCACTTCTTGTCAGCCTTCGCATTTCCAACATCCACGACTAACTTCCTCGTCTACCCTCCGTCGTCTCGGTCTCAGATCCCTAATCGAGGCCCTAGTTCGACATTCCTCGCCGCTGCGGTTGCCGGCGGTTTTGGAAGTTTCGAGAGATATCATCCGTATCGGCGCAGTCGTTGAGAATCTGAGTTCACATTAGGAATCATCAGGAATAAGGGTTTGGCTTGGATTCCAGACCCGCAGTTCATTTCTTCTGGATTTTGGCTGAAGATATCTTCCACCTTCATGTCTGGCGAACAGGAAGCTGAGAATCGACCTCCGACGCTTGCGGATCAGATTGTCGAGCCGTTGAACTATAACCTGCTGCTATCGTCGGCCCCTCGGCCGTTAACTTTTGCAGATGAGTATCATTCGTTCTTGCCGGTGGGAGACCAATTGGAAGCCACTGAGGAGGCGGCGGATTCCACGACCGTTAATACTCCGGTGAGTTTCGTTAGGAGGTCTGTTGGTGTGGAATGAGTTGTGTCGCGCTGATTGCCTGCCTGATTTTTTTCACAAAAATATTTCCTGCTCTTTCCTTTCGCCATGTAAGCTAGAGTTTGAATATGTTTACATTTTTGTTTTATGAATTATGAATTTCTTCGGTTTTGAATTCTTGAAGCAAGCTCCTGTAATTTTAGTTGTAGTCTCTTCTTAAAATAGCATTTAATGCGGAGCTTCTATACAAACAAAGCTGCTTTAGACTGCAATATGCGATCATTTACAGATTAATTCGATACTTCATCTGGTTTATTTTGCATTTCTTAGTGGAAGTTTTCAGTCATTAAGGGAATGCAACTGGAGACGAGTATAATCTCCTATAATAACGCGCACATTTGATCTTCATATGGCTTGACATTTATACTTAATTTGTATGGTTTAATCATACGATGGAAAATTATATTCTTTGTGATATTGCTTTGTTAGAGAGAAGACAACACAAATGAGAGAAATTTTTTGGAGAAGAAGTGGAGTTGGAGGGAGAAAATATGTTGTATTTTCATGGTAGGCAACATCTACAGAAGTTTAAAATTTACTATTAGAAGGATAAAAATTAGGGGCAATCCTTTGAGATCAAGAATATTCCAAGAACAAATATTAAATGGCCTTTGGAGAATATTTATCACCGATGACCAATCTGAAAAGAATGTACAAAATAATTGCACCCAAAACATAAGGGATTAGAAAAAGGCGTGTCTTCCTATGATATAAAATAGAGAAGGGCATGACATTATCAAAAGTGGTGGAACGAAGAGACTTGATAAGATATTAAAGTTAAAACAACATCTCCCTACAACCAATGAGGAATATAAACATCAGTTTTCGGGCAACTTCAAACAAATGGAGAAGCATACATTCATCAACAACATTTTGTTGAAGCGTATATGGACAATATATTTTATGAAGAATCCCATGGTGATGACAACATGATTGAAATTGAGACTGCTTGAACTCCAAGGTATTATCAATGCAAAGAGTTTTAAAAAAAAGTAGAAAATTGAACTTAATTTTTATTTATTTATAAAATGAACAAAATATATAGAAGACATATGGACAACTCTTTAATAAGTACACTCATATAATATGAGAGTTACGATCAATAAACAATAATAATAATGAAATTCAAAGCGGGTCATGGCAAAACTAGGGCCTCATATATCAAAATGAACTAACTTGTGAGGTGACTAGTGCCATGAGAAATATGTACGATGATGCTTGCCCACTTCACATTCACTGAATGAGAGTATTAATATAAGAGAAGGTTGTTAAGTAGTAAACTCTGTTGGCTTCAATTCCTTCACTTGTCACCTTCCTTTCCCTAATATCTTGAAAAAGATGATGTGAAGAATAAAATGACACATAACAATTATGATATTTATTAATACATAAATGAAAATTAAATTTGTAGGAACTGCATAACATAGAGGATATCTTGGAGATATAAGGCAATGAAAACAAATACAAAGCTTTTCCTAGAAATAGGAGAGTGAGAGCCATTGACTACAATGACTTTATGATGGAAGGTGAAAATGAGACTAATTGCTAGCTACATATCATATGTAAAGATTCACCAAAATCTAAAACACAAGACATACAAGAAAATGTAGCTATGATAGATATGGAAGATGCAATATGGGAAGCAATCCCTGATGATTGAGATTAAATGAGTATATTTCTAATTTTGAGGTAAAATAACCTGTTCTGATGAAATGGCCTTAGGAGTAGTTGTAGGCAAGGAGCCAAGGATATGTTGGGCTATGAAGGATATCCAAACTTGCCCCAACAACATTAAAAAGGGTGCTTAGTTTGACCACAGGGAGAGTAAAGTGGAAAATGCTTATTTCCCTCACCACAACCTCCAACCAAGCAACCACTTCAGGCACGATCACCAAAACCACTACGATGGTAATTGCCAAGGACATATTGATCATACACTTAGTGGATTTGGAGTAGATAACTCAATAACACAAAGAATCCATGAGAGTTTAGTGATGAGATTATGGATAGTAGAGTTGACAAAAACGCACATAAATAAAATTTGTAATAAGAAATTCTTTATTTTGTTTCAACCTAATAATAGTATTGGCAATAAAAGGTCTATATTGAATAAGTTTATTCCACTTTTGCTAGATTGTTACAATATTTATGAACATGAAGATCATTTTATTGAATGCGGACCAAATCATAGGATAAATTATAAACAAAATAAATGCTACTATTATGAAAGTAGATTGAACAAATAAAGTCACACATAACCTTTGCAATTTTCTAAAACTTGACCATGGAGACTGATTTTTCAAGGCTATTCAACCTCTAGATAAGAAAAATATAATTAGATGCTTTCCTTTGCTAACTTGACAATTTTGTTATAATTTGGAGGAGGCAAGTTTATTTGATTGAGTTTGTTATCAGAATTAACAAGAAATTGAAAGACGCTCAACAATAAGAAGCGCTTATTAGTATTATTGAACTTGATCATGTTATAAAAAATAGAGGGTTACAGAGTCATTTAGAGGAGTTTGAAATGCCATGACATCATAGGAGACAGGAGAGAGAGTCAACAGAGTTATTGAGAACTCAAAGCAACATATGAAAAATGACAAGGGCTTTGATTAATTGGTTGCATTTGTATATTTAGATGCGAGCACAATAATATATATTCGAACACGATTGATGACAACTCCTCATCAAGCCGAGGTGACAAGGAAGAGCACATGCATTAAAGGTTCGTACAAGAGAAGAGATGGAAAGTACACTTCTTCCGAAGATTACTCAATAAGGATGGCATATTGAAGCATATGAAAAAGAGAAAAAGAAAAACACTTAACAAACATAGAAAGGATTTTGAGTGGTTCAGTCAAATGATCTACATATCCTATGATTCTATTAAGAAGGTTTATTGAACTTTAATATGATGCACATGATGGAGCCCTACAAAGGAAAGCTCACTTTAAGAAGAATGTGAGAATAATTATACTAGTGAGAAGTAAAGTACTAAGAATAATTTTCTTACATTCAAGCTATGTGTTCTTTAGAGAAGGGAAGATGAGTTGAGAAGATGGAGAAGAGAGCTTTGCATGCAGGTGATGCTTAAGAGTTCCTGAGCCACTAGAATTTTTGTAGGTCCTTGTGCCGTTAACTCAAAATTCACCCTATTTGAGAGAGGGAAAGAGTGTTCTAAAGGAGAGTAAAAAAGAGTTTAGAGAGCCAAGATTAACAAAAGAGCTAATCCCAAATGAGGAGACATTTATAAGGAAATGGGTTTGTTCCCCATAGTTGATGTTCTGTGGTTTATATGAGCTTTGACTAATGTTGAACTTTGAGACTATTGATGAGCTATTGATATGGGTGTGCATCACATTTGGCTAATTATGCGCCAATAACAATGGTTAGACTTCAATATTATTAGATTACACAGACATGCCGATAAAGGATGTGCCTTAACTATATTGGTATGAATGAGTGACAACAGTAAATATGGTTGCACAACAAAAGGGATGTCGGATCTTTGTTAGGAATGCTTTGAAATCCCAATACATTTTTGTCTTGCACGTGTTCCCCATGCATGTAAAGAAATAGGTGAAATAGCATTGTTGGGCCTGAGGTAATCCTAAGCAAGAATGATGAGCTTATGTCCTTAGGTAAGTAGCATTCCTAAGTCAATTCTTAAGGACTTCCCAAGGGCTACCCCAAGAGCTTTGGTTAGGTGGTTGAAATGACCTATGATCATGAGTTGGATGCTTAACATGTGTAGGGTTGTGATGGGCTTTGAGAGGGTGCCCTTTTGAAGTTAAGATATGTATAAAGGAGGAATTGCAAATGATTTTGTGGTAGGCATGGAAATAAATGGTTCACAATCGTTGTAAAGCCTATGCACAAGTGCGAGAAAAGCATAATTTGGGTCACTAGAGTGTCATGAATGAGTAGTAAATAAGAGAAGATGAGGTTGTGGCAAACACTTGCAAGGTTTTCCGATGGTGTGGAGTTGCAATTGTGAGTAGAATAGAGTGGTGTGTGGGGTGCTTGAGAGGGGAGGTAGACATAATGAACTTTGGGTGAGCAAGTGTGGACAGGCGAGTGTTTGATTGAGTGAGTCTAGGAGGGGTGTGAGCAATGCATGGGACTTTAGCTTAGATGTGAGTGGTTATGGGGAGTCAGGTCAAATGACAAGACGAGTAAAGGCATGATGGCTAGGGTTAGGATGATTATGCTTCATACCTTATTATGAGGAAATTTTTTTCTTTGTGCTTTAGTTAATAGAATATGGGGTTATATGGATAGGCTTACAAAAGAAAATAGATAATGAGAAGGAAAATTAAATAAGAATGATATGAAGGCATACCCCTCAAATAAGGTATTATTAAAAATAATAATTCATAATATAATCTTTTGTATGATGACACATCCAAAGCAATCACATAGCATGTAGGCTTGGCTTATTGTTTTAGGGCTTGAGTGTATGCCATATTTTAAATATGCATTGTAATTTGGAAATAGATTATGTTTTGCATGATTTTAATGTATTGGTGGTATAGAAAAGCTTCTGTCTTGGACGGTCATTATTTACCGAAGACTATTATAAAAGGGGCAAAGGTTGGCTATGCTTTTGATTATTATAATCATCATCAGGCAGGTGCAAGACCTTTATCTTTTTGACTGTTGTCAACCCTTCTTTATTCATTCTTTCAAAATGTACATTTTGATGTTATGTTACTCTTTGATCAATTTACTTGAAGAGCTTTCATCTATGTGAACATTGACCAGCCCCATTTTCATTCCTTGCATTCTCAAACTTTAAGTCCCCACATTTTGGTAGTTGACTGCTCATTGAAGTACACTCATCAATCATTTGCCAATCAGTTGATCTATATATATATTCGTGTGTGTGCGCGTGCACGCGCATATATGTTACGACTCGGCCCGATGGCTCAATTGAATGAGGCAGGAGCAAATAGTTAGACTAATTTCACAATTTCTTTCGACACTAAGGCGATGACAACTACACAACAACATTAAGCTTTTATCCCACTACGTGGGGTCGGCTGTATGAATCCTTTCTCTCCATTGTATTCTGTTAAGAGTCAAATTCTCATTTAAATCTAAGAAAGAAAGGTCATTTATAATATTTTATAACCTTGTCTTTTTAGGTCTACCTCTGCCTCTCTCAACATAAGCTAAATCTAATACATCTACTTTCATAATCGGGTCATCAGAAGGCCGTCGTTTTATATGACCAAACCATCTAAGACGACTCTCTCTAATCTTATCTTCCATAAGAGTTACTCCAACCTTTTCACGTATTTGCTCATTTTGTATCCTGTCTCTAAGAGTAAAGCCACTCATCCAATTGAGCATTCTCATCTCAACAACATTTAACTTAATATTATTCATCTTTTTTAATGGCCAACATTCTGCGCCATAAAGCATTTGCAGGTCTCACCACCATCTTTTAGAATTTTCCCTTAAGTTTAATGGAGACTTTTCTATCACACAAAAAATCCAATGCATTCCTTCACTTTAACCATCCAACTTGAATTCTATTAATAATACCCCCATTTATTTCCCCGTCACTCTAAACAATAGACCCAAGATATCTAAAATGTGTACTCTTATTAATGGCTTAGTTGCCTAAAGTCACAATCCTCCACTAGATCTATTACTATTAAAATTACTCTCCATATATTCAGTTTTAGATATACTCAAACTAAAACCTTTAAACTCTAAGGTTAACCTCTATAATTCAAGTTTACCTTCAACTCTCTCTAGTCTTATCAACCAGAAGAATGTCATCAGCAAAAAACATACACCAGGATACAACCTCTTGCAAATGACTAGTGAGAACATCCATGACTAAAGAAAAAAGATATGGACTTAAGGCTGATCCTTGATGCAATCCAATTGAAATAGGAAAATACTTGGTCAAACCATCTTATGTTTGAACAAAAGTAACAACTCCTGCATACACATCATTAACGACTTGAATATAAACATTATTAACCCCTTTATTTTCTAAAACTCTCCATAACACTTCTCTTAGAACCTTGTCATATGTTTTCTCTAAATCAATAAATATCAAGTCAAGATCCCTCTTATTCTCTTTTAATTTATGTAGACCCTGAGTTGTAAATTAAGTGACACTTGCTATATGGACTTTGAATTTATTTAATGATTATTTAATTTTATTAATTTATTTACATTGTTTGTGCAGTAAAGAATTGCCTGTTTTTTTTTCTAGTTTTCTTTCTTGCATACCGTATTTTGTTTTAGCTTGTATACAATTGGAGGCTCGTGAGGGTACCACTAAAACCCTTTTTCTAGTTAAAATTTAAATAAAATTTTTAGGCTCATATAGTAACTCTAATGATTTAAGAAGTAAGCTCGGGTTCGTCAAGAATTTTCATGCATTCATATTAATATTTTCTCTTTCTTGTTAGGCATCTCACCGCGTGTGTTCTGACAGACCACATGACCTATAAGGGTACAATTCTATCAAGGGGATGTTGTGCAATCTCTAGGATAAAATCATTTTTAAGCCTTTTTTAAAACTGTTTCATTTATTTTATGCATTCGAGTTAATTAATATGCATTGCATTATAAACAAATCAAAAGGAGTTAAAATTTTAATTGCATTTTATTTGCAAGCATCAATCATCCTACATAAGTCAAGGGGCCACCTAGGATCAGCTCTAGATATTGGCCTCATTTCCAAAAAACTTAATAAACAATTTTACCTATCTTTCATTAAAAATTGATACACGATTTTAAAGCATCTAGGTGGTTAGCTGACTTCTAAATCTAGGCCGAGGTAAGTCCAGGTTTGCACTGCATTAGTTAGGTTCGGGTTATTATTTTTTAGTGCCTAAATTAGACTTGGGATCATGGATAGACTCAAAATCATAAAATCCCAACCTTCGGAAATGTAATCCCAATCTTTTAATAAATTGATAACTCAAATTAAAATTCCCTTCAAATTAAAATTTAAAGTCCAACACATAAGGTAGAACGGGGCATTTCTGAATTATTTCAGAATCATAAATGCCTCCTACTTCTCTTCCTTTGACCTCCAGAAATAAGTGCTCAAAACTTGACTCAATCCCGATTCGAATTCATATCTCACTCTCTTGATATCACTCCTTAAAAATTTCAAAATAAAAATTCTACCATTATTTTAATCGAGAGTTTTCGTAGTAAATTTAGGTTTCATACGATGTAATTAACTACGAAGGCTTGCGCACATAGGAGATTTAAGAACCCAGATTGACTTTCAAAAAATCAATTAATCTTCTTTGCGAAAATCAAAATCAACGACGGTCGTTATCGTCGTGCTCGAACAATTGATAATGAATGATATTTTCTTCCTTTGAGTAGATATATCTTTTGTTGATATAACCTCGAATATGAAATTAACGATAATACATCTAGATTATCGTATCTCGATATTTGATCGAACTTCATTTTGACCCTTTGGGGTCATATGTAGTTATTTCCTGAATTTGGCTACGATATTTGGGATGAAATTTTCAATTCTAAATTTGAACCCATCAGGAGATCTTATTTCCACATTTTGAGGTGGTATATCTTTTCTAATAAATGTTCGATTTAAGAATTAAAATTTAAAAGTCAATTTCAAATTTCTCGAAAAAATTTAGTTACAATTTGCTTTGCCCCTTTTCAAAGCAAAGCTCATTCTCAGCCAACATATACATAATAATCTCAATATGAAGCCATCATACTTATCTATACTATACTATAACACAGTCATTTGTTATTTTCTCATTTTAATGTAAAGTAACATTTATTTAGATTAACTATTATACATGTAAGATGATGTATTAATAAATGCACTAGATTAAAATAAATTGCAAGTTCTACGATATAAAGTATAATCACCCACTTACTTGCCTTACAAAGGTTAGAACTGTCACATCTAAGTTCTATAAACTCTTAATTAGTCTTCGTTAGGGCATAACCTAATCATCAAAAATATAATTATGTCAATCTATGCAAGTAGTTAAAGATCTATCTTTATATTTAATTTTAAATCAAATCTTCATTATTAATTTAATCATTACTTAATTATCCCTTGAGAACACTTTACTTACAGTACTTTTGCCTCAATTATACTGTTCAATTTTTCCACCACCCAAAATAATATTAACAATATAATTAACTTTAAAATTAATCTTGGAGAAGTTGAACGTTATTAAAGGTAACACAAAATGCATTGATTTTTGTCAAAGACAACGTTGAATGCTTTGAACGTATCTAAATTATTAAGCCACATTTACTATTCCATTGTCTATCTTATTCCATAAAAATGGTCGAAATTAGATATAATTAAATTGCATTTATTACCTCAATTTATGTTCCTTCTCGTTGAGTAGAGATTTCACCGACTGCATTTCTTTTTATTAAACAATTGCGCATGAATCGATTCAGTAAAAAAATGCAAATCATAATTTTTTTCTTTCTAAATTGAACAGGAAAAATCACTTACTATTTCCTTTTTGTCTCTATCAAGTACACAAACTTCTCCTTCTTCTCTGATGAAAACGAAACCTCACAAACACTTCTTCTTATCCTTCATCTTAGTCGATCATGAATCTTTTGTCAAATGTGTACCCATGAAGTCTTCTTCTTTCAGCGAACGAAATGCCATGCTATTGCCTTGAAACTTCTCTTGCCAGCTTTCATTTCTTCCCAACTAAGTTAATCTAAATTTACTTTCGTGGAGAGTCCTATCCACCTGCTCGTAGTCGCATGCTTCGTTCGCTTTTGATCGCTCGCCCACTTGCTGTTATGCCCTATGCTTCGCCCACTAGTTGTCTCGCTCGACCAAGCCCGCATGCTCAGACTTCTTTTGCTATGGGCCGATTTGCTTGAACTGGCCCAGCTGGCCAGTTATTACAATATATATATATATATTCTCAACTTTATGCTATGCTTTTTTTTTTCAACCAAAGTTTTTGTATCTAGTATTTAATATAAAGGATTGTCTGAATGAATTTCAAGGCAAGCTGTGCGGTTCTATGTGAGGTGGCTGATTTGCCATGTTATATCCGGAGCTTTTAAAAGTATTTATTGCGAGCTTTAGAGCATTGGATGCTAGACTCATAACATTAACATTGGCCTACATTATTCTTAAATTTAAAGTTGATTTAAAGAAGTTTGTTAATTGAAGCAAAATTGTAGCTTTCAAACAGCTCAGGATATCTGACTTCATACGCATCTATTATTTAATATGGCATGTCATAGAAATTCTCTTAAATTTAGATAATATTTATCAGCTATGGTGAACTATCCTATAATTATGACTTTTTCACTCAGTTAAAGCGAAAGGCTGATAGACAAGACGCCGATGCTGCTGAATCAAAGCAGTTGGCAAGTAGTTCTGGATGTGCTATGGTAGCCAACAGTTCCCTCACACGGTTGTCATGGATCGGGGGAAGGAAAAAGGGTAAATCTAAAGTTCTGAATTGCAAAAAATCTGAACCTCAGACTCCTTTGTCAAATGAAGGTGAGGAAGTGCTCCGTTGACTTGATGCATTATGCTGTTTTTTGCTTTGCTCTATTGCGTGCTTTCGTCCACTATGAGTCTAAATTGAATTTACATTTGACATTACAGCAATCTTGCGTCAATTGGTAGGTGTTTTAATTGTAGTTATTGATGTAGGTTTTGTGGTTAGCTCAGTCTTACTGTTGCCTGGGTTAATTCCAATAAAATATTAAGATTTTCATTTTGATATGCAAATCTATACCCTTTTGTAGGTTCCTCTTCTGTCAATTTTCTATCTCCAGTTTCTACTAGCCGGTTTGACAGTTCTTTAGGTAATTGATGTGATTGCTTAATCTTGATGCATTTGTTAGAGAATATTTCTTATGCGTGCTCTATTTAATTTATGTTTCCAGTCTTAGTATTTGGGACCAGCGCAATTTTTTTTTTTCTTTTTTTACTACAATGCTCTATACTTGTTAGGGCTGTTGACCAAGAAAGTCATCAATTTGCTTAGACATGGTCAGGATGGCACGCTTGACCTTAACAAAGCTGCTGAGACTTTGAAGGTTAGACCTACGGATTTATTTACTTTGTGTTCTAGTAAATTGATGGAAAATGAGTAAAATTAAAGTATGAGACATATTGAAGTATGTTTTGTTAAATAGGTGCCAAAGAGGCGGATATATGACATTACAAATGTCTTAGAGGGAATTGGACTGATAGAGAAGAACTTAAAAAACAAAATACTCTGGAAGTAAAATCATCTTTCATTTTCTGCAATGTTCCTTCGTGATGTTTAATTTTAAATAGTTCAAAATAAATTAAAGATATTACCTTTAACAGGGGGCTTGATGACTTGAGACCTGGCGAAGATGAAGGTTCTTCAATTTTACAGGCAAGTTGAAAAATATTCGAAGTTACATTTGAAACATCCAAATTTTGCCTGTTTATGAAACTACCACTCAACCAAAAAAAGGAAAAGAAAGAAGCAAATCTATACTTTCACATGAGCTATGATCAAATCATTGAGAAATTTATCGGAACTATCAAACAATGTGAAACAAATGTTTGATACTTTAATTAATTGAGTTTTATTCCATTCCTTAACCCATATTTATATAATCCTATGTGAGTTACAGAATAGAAAGCACGTAAAATCAAGTGAGCATGTAAAATCAAGTGCTGAAATTTAGCCATAAAATTCATCATAATAAATTAGTGCACAATGATGGGTGAGGTGGAATTCGCATGGTTTGATGAGGAATCTATTATGAGATTAGCAACCTTGGGCCCAACTCTCTTGAGATATAAAATGTCATCATCGGGTCATGAAAAACTACCCTTGGGATATGAAGTCACCCTTGGAACATGAAAAGCCATACTTGAGACTCTCTCGACCTTTAATTACCAACCATAGAAGGAAGTGCTGAGTGGTGTATAAGTAGGGCTATTTTCTTTAAGTTTAGTATGTGATGATTGATTTTTTTTTTTTTTGAGAGGTTGTATTCTATCATACACAAATTCGGACTTGAATTTTCAAGGTTAAAATTATGATAATCAAAATAAGGAAGAATATATATTTCTAGTAGGGGATCAACATTAATAGAGAAAAAAAATTTGATGTAAAAAAGAAAAAAAATTACGATAGTGACTCCAGTGGAAGATAAGATTAGAGAGAGTCGCCTTATATGGTTTGGTCACATTAAACGGAGGCCTTCTGATGACCCGGTTAAGAAAGTTGAGTTATTAGATTTGACTTATGTTAAGGAAGGTAGAGGTAGACCTAAAAAGACTTGGTTAGAAAATATTAAAAATGATATTTCTTTATTAGATTTAAATGAGAATTTGACTTTTGACCGGATACAATGGAGAAAAAGGATTCATGTAGCCGACCCTACGTAGTGGGACAAAGGCTTGATGTTGTTGTTAAAAAAAAAACATTACGAGAGATTTGAAATCATTTGCAAACTAGATCTTAACACAACGTTTTTTAGATGTGTTGTAGCGCATACATACAAATTTAGTAGGTTGAGTTGAAAGTTTAGTGATGAGGACATCGGCAGGAGATTCCGGAATGGTTATAACCGGAAGCATCAGAGATTGACGGCTACGATTAGGAGCCTGTACTTTTGATATATTTCATGTATTAGCTATTTTATTTCATGTTTGACGATTGTACCCTTGCTTATATTTTATTTTGAATTGTAACCCTAAAGACATTTCAATGTTTGTTTTCTTTTCTCTTTGAGGCCTATATATATGACCCTTAGTCTTGTATTAGGGTTAATGCTTGATCAATAAAAATATTTCTGGTTTCCTTGAGAGCCTTGTGAGTTCTTGAGTGGTGAAGTTCGAAGGTGTGGGCAAAGCAACACCACCAGTCGTCGGAAGTGTCCCCGGCTCGTGGCTCGACTCCTATTTCCAGTCCCGGTCACTCTCCACCCTACCTCAAAACTGTTGGCCACCCTTTCTCCCCAACAAACCGCCGGCCCCAACCCAGTCTCCCTCCTCCCACCTGCTAGCCCTCAACTCCTCTCCAACCTTAGCCGCCGCCCGCCGGCCCAGTCCACAAAGCCCTCCCTCCTCTCCCAATCCCACTCTTGGTTGCCGGCCACACTTAATTACCCCTGATAGTGATGATTTTCATCATCATTATTACATGCCTAAATTAGCATAATTGATTTGGGAAAGATTTTGATTTAAATGGTTTCCTAAATTAGCCAAGTTAAATTAGAAAAGTTCCTAAAATTAGGTCTAATTTAATTTTAAATTAGATTTGAGGTCATTTGTCTTCTCCTAAAGTGGATTAATGATTAGGAATCTTCCAATCCCCCCCCCAAATATTTTCCCTCTCTCCCATGCTTGTTGTCGGCCCTATAACCCTCCCTCTCTCTTTATTTTCACTAACCCTATTTGAAATTGAAATTCAAATTTCAAAATCAAAACTCCTTTCCCCTTTTAAATAAAACCTGAAATTAAATTCAGATTGTATTTGATATGCCCTAATCCAAACCCTAAACCTAAGTTAGCATAGATATATATTAGAGATATAATTGTTGACCCGCTTACTATATCGATAGAAAACAAAAAAAAAAATCTTTCATACCTGTCCGTCGCCGAATTCAACATGACGTTGCTGCTCTTCCCACGATCTTCGCATAAGGCTCGCACGACTTAACGTCCCATCCCGCACGACTCGTTTGAGTCGTTAAATACCGAAGGAAATGAGAGAGCTCTGCTCTCGCTGCCTCTCCGATCTCTCACTCTCCCTCTCTCGCACGCTCCTCCTCCTTCGTTGCTGTTTAGCTTCGTGGCTTCGCAGGAGCTGTTCAACTTCGGGCTTTCAACAACTTTCCCTCCCAGTTGGATTGGAAGTTACAAAGCTTTCATTGGAAGCAATGCGGAGCTCGCCGACTGTGAAGTCAACTTCTTCCCCTTCGTGCTGCTTCTACGGCTCCTTCGACGACTTTCCCTTGCGGTCGGATCGGAGTTACGACATTCCTATCAGAAGCAGGCACGGGAGCACGCTCGCTGTGAAGTAACTTTCTCTGCTTCGCACTCTCCCACGGTTCCTTTGTCGTTGCTCGACTGCGCTCCATCGACGGCGCTCCCTCGTCGGATCGGAACCAATACATTTTGATTAGAAGCAGGGCCCCTTCGCACGCTTGTTCAGCCAAATCCCCCGTGCTAAAGGATTTATATATATATATATATATATATATATATATATATATATATGCCAAAATTTTTTTATGCTTAACAAGAACGTGTCAAAACATTTTTTGTTGTTATTAATAACAAAATTATGTAGATCATACCTTTTTACTAGAATTGCGCTAAGAGGGGAATCCAGTACGACAGGTGCGACGAGGCGGGTAAGCCCTATACACGCTCTTGTAGCGTGGTGGAGACAATCCTCGACCTTGGCATCAGCACTGTCGACACTGCTACGCAAGGTATAATCTCTAAAACTCAAATTTCTAATTCTCGTAATGTGCAATGGACCGGGGAACCCCCGATACGCGCTCTCGTAGCACGGTGGGAAGAAACCCGGTGCGGTGCCTACGACAAGGAGGGTAATCACTTTAAATCCTATTTTCGTCGTTTGCAGCTGACCGAGGAACCAAATATACGCGCTCTTGTAGCACGGTAGGAGGGAGCCCGGTGTGACGCATACGGCGAGGTGGGTAGGCCCTATACACGCTCTTGTAGCGTGGTGGGGAAGTCACTGGTGTTTTCGTACGGGTACTATTGAAGGCCCCATACACGCTCTTGTAGCATGGTGGGATGAAAAGATATGCGGCCGCATGTTGGTGGAATTTTGAAAGCAGATATTTCAAATCTTAGTTTTCTTTGGAAGTTAAAGTTAAATTCTAATTCTAAAATCGAATCATCCCGTTAGAAAGAGTATATCATCTCGAAAGGTGAAAATAAAATTTCATAACGGTGTTCAAATTTAGAATTATGAAATTCATCTTGAATATTATGACCGGATGCTAAAGAGAACTTCGTATGGCCCCGAAGGGCCAGGATGAGGTTCAACTAAATATCTAGCTACAATAATCAAGAAGTATGATCGTTAAGTTCATATCTAAAGCTATCAAGGATATATCTCCCCGAAGGGAGAAAATATCATTCGATGATAATTCTTTGAATATGATAATAACGATCACTAGTATTTTAAGTTTTCCCAAAGAAATTCAATTGCATTTTGAAAAATCAAATTTTTAAAATCAGATGTGTATGGTTCTAAATCTCCTACGAGCGCAAGCCCTCGTAGTTAATTACATCGTAGGGGGACAAAGTCCCATACGAAAACTCTTGATTAGAATAGTGGCAAAATTTTGTTAGATTTTCCAGGAGTGATATCAAAAAGAGGTGAATTTTGAAAACTCGAAAGGGAACTGGTCAAAATTGAGCAGTTATTATCAAAATCAAGGGAATAAAAGTAGGGGACACTTTGAGATTCCAGAACCATCCAGAAGTGTCCCAACTTAATCTAATGTTAGGCTTTACATTTTAGGATTGAAAGAAGATTTTAATTAGAGTTGAGCGTTTTATTAGAAATTTAGGATTAGATTCCCGAAGTTTGGGATCTTATAATCAAAGATCTGCACCGTATCCTAAATCTAATTTGGACACTGGACCACAATCGTCCGAACCTAACTAATGCAGTGCAAGGTCTGGACTTTACCCTGGCCTGGATTAGGGAGCCAGCTAACCACCTAATCGATTTAAAATAGATGAGTCCGGTATTTTATGAAAGAGCGGTAGGGACGTTTTATTTATAAGGTTTTGAAGAGCTGGGGCCGACATCTAGAGATTTTCTAATTGACCCCTTTTGACTTATGTGGGGTGCAAAATGCAAGGACTAATGCAATTAAAATTTTGACTATTTTAATTTATTTTTAATGCAATGCATGCTAGTTAACAATCTCAAATCAAGTATGTTTGAAAGTTAAAAACAGGCTTAGAAAATAATTTTTTAGAAGACTGGACTTCCCCAGGTCCGGCACCTCGTCCTCATAGGTCAGACTATCCGGACTCTACCCGCAGGCAGGGAAGGGTCTAAAGCAAGGAAAGAAGTAGTGCAGAAATATACATGCGACCCCGGGGTCGATCCCCGGCTAATTCCCTAGATTCGTTATCTTTCTATGTTATTTAGACTCACTAAATTTTAAATTTTAAGATTATGAGTATAAAAATTTTTACACCCTTACAAGTCTCACGTATCCAGCGAAAATAAAAGCGGCACACAAACGCTAAAAAACTAAGAAAAACAGGCAATCCTAAAGGCAATCATTTCAACACATCAAATATAAATGAATTAATTAATAAATGTCCATAGGCAAAGTTGCCTTGCTTATTACAAATCAGAATTTACAAAAAATAAAG